TTTCCGTTGTTATTTGTTTTTCCGTTTTCATTCCGGTGTTGATATGGATAATGTAGTGGCTCCCAGCCTCCCCCGTCACCATGGCAACGCTTGCACCATTCCCAATTATATTGAAATTTCCCCCTGACGTGTGTGTGCTCACCTATATGTTCTCAACTAAAGGGGCATAGAGGATCGAACGCTCACTCACCAGCGCCGGGCAGGTCTTCCTGGTATCACATGTCTTATGCAGCATCCTCATCTTTACATCAGATTTACCCGGAGACAGTCTTTATTTTATCTTGTCAATCACTCAGAGTATCTTGTATGCTGCTATCATATCTCATTTCATCTCAATATTCAAGTCTGGTTAATATTAGATTGAACACATATCAGCACCCTGTTAGTTTAACTGATTAACAGCGGGTACAACCTAGATACATTTAATACATGTAAACACACATACACACACACACACACACGCTCGCGCAAGCATGGCATTGAATCATTGCATGAGACAACCGGCTGCTAGAAAATCAGGGTCCAAGAGCTAAAGCTCGATCCCGAATGAAAAAGTACACGAGTACAATTAAGTGAGTGCACCCCCCCCTCTCCCCCCGCCCACACACACACAGGTGGAAGCTTAGTACCCAGATGAGTCACAGAGACGTTAGAAAGAATTTTTTCAGTGTCAGAGTAGTTAATAAATGGAATGCATTAGGCAGTGATGTGGTGGAGGCTGACTCCATACACAGTTTCAAATGTAGATATGATAGAGCCCATAAGCTCAGGAACCTGTACACCAGTTGATTGACGGTTGAGAGGCGGGACCAAAGAGCCAAAGCTCAACCCCCGCAAGCATGTTGGTGTTCTGACCCTCCGTGACCGCTCTCGCTCCCTAACACAACTCAAACACCTTCAAATGGCCAAATCACAGGTCAGAGTGTTAGGTAACTTGTCTACTGTGAGGCGGAGAACAGCCACAACTGACCAGCACGAAGATATGCAGATTTTCGGCAGCCATATGAAGGGAATTTGTGTTAGGAACCAACGCGCCAGCTCTGCTGACCTGTGGTATATAAGCCGGTAATGGCGTCGAGACCCTCTCTTCCTCCCCGACTCCTGAGTCACAGAGAGAATTACATTGTTTATAAATTGAGGCCACTAAATTATGATTATTTATAAATCGAATTAATTAAGAGAATTAACATGCTGAATTATTAAAATATGATAAAATTTTCATCAATTAATATATTAGTGAGGCCTAACTGGAACAACTGTAGTTCTTCAATTGTCTCTGGTGGTGAGGGAGTCAGCTGACGCCGCCCCGACCTGAGAATGTGGCGGCGCTCTGCTACGCTCTTACTGAATGTGTATTATTGTGTACGGAACACGAATACTCGGAGGAATTTAATTTAATATCTAATGTTTAGGAATTATTTATTATTACAAAAAATTCACTTAACATTTAGAGGAGAAATTATTTAATACATCTTCCTTGATTGTGTAACTTTATCCTTGTCTGGTTACATCTTGTCTGTCCCTACCCTTCACCACCTTCCCTACCCTTCACCACCTTCCCTACCCTTCACCACCTTCCCTACCCTTCACCACCTTCCCTACCCTTCACCACCTTCCCTACCCTTCACCACCTTCCCTACCCTTCACCACCTTCCCTACCCTTCACCACCTTCCCTACCCTTCACCACCTTCCCTACCCTTCACCACCTTCCCTACCCTTCACCACCTTCCCTACCCTTCACCACCTTCCCTACCCTTCACCACCGTCCCTACCCTTCACCACCATCCCTACCCTTCACCACCTTCCCAACCCTTCACCACCTTCCCTACCCTTCACCACCTTCCCTACCCTTCACCACCTTCCCTACCCTTTACCACCTTCCCAACCCTTCACCACCTTCCCTACCCTTCTCCACATTCCCTACCCTTCACCACATTCTCTAACCTTCACAACCTTCCCTACCTTTCACCACCTTCCCTACCCTTCACCATCTTCCCTCCCCTTCTCCACATTCCTTACTATTCACCACCTTCCCTACCCTTCACCACCTTCCCTACCCTTCACCACCTTCCCTACCCTTCACCACCTTCCCTACCCTTCACTACCTTCCAAACACTTCTCCGCATTCCCAACCCTTCACCACATTCTCTACCCTTCACAACCTTCCCTACATTTCACCACCTTCCCTACCCTTCACCACCTTCCCTACCCTTCACCACCTTCCCTACCCTTCACCACCTTCCCTACCCTTCACCACCTTCCCTACCCTTCACCACCTTCCCTACCCTTCACCACCTTCCCTACCCTTCACCACCTTCCCTACCCTTCACCACATTCCCTACCCTTCTCCACATTCCTTACTATTCACCACCTTCCCTACCCTTCACCACCTTCCCTACCCTTCACCACCTTCCCTACCCTTCACCACATTCCCTACCCTTCACCACATTCCCTACCCTTCACCACATTCCCTACCCTTCACCACCTTCCCTACCCTTCACCACCTTCCCTACCCTTCACCACCTTCCCTACCCTTCACCACCTTCCCTACCCTTCACCACCTTCCCTACCCTTCACCACCTTCCCTACCCTTCACCACCTTCCCTACCCTTCACCACCTTCCCTACCCTTCACCACCTTCCCTACCCTTCACCACCTTCCCTACCCTTCACCACCTTCCCTACCCTTCACCACCTTCCCTACCCTTCACCACATTCCCTACCCTTCACCACATTCCCTACCCTTCACCACATTCCCTATACTTCTCCACATTCCCTACCCTTAACCACCTTCCCTACCCATCACCACCTTCCCTACACTTCTCTACGTTCCCTACCCTTCATTACATTCCCTACCCTTCTCCACATTCCCTACCCTTCACCCCCTTCCCTACCCTTCACCACTTTCCTTGCCCTTCACTATCTTCCCTACCCTCACGCCTTCCCCACCCTTCACCACCATCTCTACCCTTCACTACCCTTCACCTCCTTCCTTACGCTTCCCCACCGTCCCTATCGTTCACCACCTTCCCTATCCTTCACCACCTTCCGTACCCTTCACAACCTTCCCATCCCTACACGTCACTCCATATCTGCCCTTCAAAACTTTCCCTCCCATTCTCCACCTTTCCTACCCTTCACATGCTTCCCCACCCATCACCACCTACCATTCCCTTAACATTCCCTTTCCTTCACCACCTTCATTACCCTTCACCTTCCCTACTCATCACCACCTTCTCTACCCCTCAACACCTTTCCAACCCATCACCTCCTAATCAGCCCTTCACCACCTTCCCTGCCCTTCCCCTTCCCGTCACCATAGGCCCAAGAGGGTCTACGTCGTCCAGTCTCTGTCTGACTCTTTACCCAGACCCAGGCGACTGCCCTTCTACGGTGAATAGAAAAAGAGATACAGACATCCCTAAGAATAAAGATATTTCACATTGCAGTAATAAGAATTTTCCTTGACTTTGTAGGTGGTGGTCATGTCCAAGTTAAACAAAGCACTTGGGCCGTGCATCAACACTTCCAGCCCAACTATGAAACACTGCCAACCTCGCTATATTTTATCCATCTGTGATATTGACTTTATTTGCATAAGTTTACCCTTCATGGTATATATAATTATTTCTATATTTGTGAGTATTAATATATTTATTCAAAAGTTTCTGATTCAAAATGAGTAAGATTATTAATTTATTGATGTTGATGACTGGGTTGGTGATGGTAGGGATGGTGCAAGTGTGGATGACAAGCCAGGAAGCGGAGAGACATACCCACCTGCATCTCCTTCGGCTACAGGTTCTTGAGTGGCACAAGAACTAATATAGCATCCTTCACCTGCTGAGGCAGCTGGCCGTCTTCCTCCACCTCCTCCCGCCTGCGATTGGCTGTGATGAATCGCTGCTCGACGGTGACGTGGAGCTGGAGCCTTTCTGGGATAGTGTGCCCTTCGTGGGCACATTCCTGCGGCACCAGCAGACTCTCCGGCTGGTGAGGGGTCTGAAGGACTTCCTGGTGCAGGTCGGAGAGGTGCCTGCAGCGCAGCCTATTGCAATCTGGAGTCGTTGGGAAATTCTCCCAATTTCTTTGGCTATCTTAATATTTTTGTTTAATAATGCCTGGCCGCGACGTGTGGCCCGTCCTCGGGACCGTGACTGCATCGGTGTGCAGCACAAATTGGCTCTCACCGCTCCCACAACCCACTGAGCCCTGACATGATGCCACAACCCTGGGAACAACCCTCTGAGCCACGACATGATGCCACAACCCTGGGAACAACCCTCTGAGCCACGACATGATGCCACAACCCTGGGAACAACCCTCTGAGCCCTGACATGATGCCACAACCCTGGGAACAACCCCCTGAGCCACGACATGATGCCACAACCCTGGGAACAACCCTCTGAGCCACGACATGATGCCACAACCCTGGGAACAACCCTCTGAGCCACGACATGATGCCACAACCCTGGCAACAACCCTCTGAGCCACGACATGATGCCACAACCCTGGGAACAACCCTCTGAGCCACGACATGATGCCACAACCCTAGGAACAACCCTCTGAGCCACGACATGATGCCACAACCCTGGGAACAACCCTCTGAGCCACGACATGATGCCACAACCCTGGGAACAACCCTCTGAGCCACGACATGATGCCACAACCCTGGGAACAACCCCCTGAGCCACGACATGATGCCACAACCCTGGGAACAACCCTCTGAGCCACGACATGATGCCACAACCCTGGGAACAACCCTCTGAGCCACGATCTCAGGATAGAGAACCATCAGGAGAAAGTGTCAAGTAATTAAGACAATATAGCATTGAAAGGAATCAAGGTAAGAATTTGGGATGGGACTGAAGGATGGAATGGTGCCCAACCACTTGGAGGGTCGGGAATTGAATGCCGACCTGTATGAAAGGAGACCGTCGTTCTACCGTCCACCCCAAGTGGTTGGGCACACAGCGAGGAAGAAGCACGAGTGAATGACAATGAGTGGAGCATCGGTGACGGCTGCCTCGGTGCTGTGTCGTGATGAAAAGTGATGTTGTCGATGGTTTCGTTTGGCCAAAGTGGCTGTGTGTGTGTGTGTGTACTCACCTAATTGTGCTTGTGGGGGTTGAGCTCTGGCTCTTTGGTCCCGCCTCTCAACTGTCAACCAACTGTTGTACAGGTTCCTGAGCCTATTGGACCTGGGTATCCAAATGAGCCTGTGGATCATTTGGATACTCAGCTTCGACCTGTGTCCCCTTGCTCGTGTTCCACCTGGGCTAAATAGTTTATCTTTCACCACCCTATGAATTCCACTGAGAATTTTGTTGGTGGTGATCATGTACCCTTACTCGTCTGTCTTTTAGGGACGTGAGGTTTAGCTCTCGTAGTCTTTCCTGGTAGCTCATTCCTTTAAGTTCTGGGACTAATCTGGAGGCATATCTCTGAATCTTCTCTTACTTTGTCTTGAGTTTAACTAGGTATGGACTCCAGGCTGAAGCGGCCTATTTCAGGATTCGTCTGACATATGTGGTATACAAGGTCCTGAACAAATTCTTGCACAAGTTTCTAAAGGCAGTTCTTATATTTGCCAATCTAGCATATGCCGCTGAAGATATCCTTTTGATTTGGTCTTCTGGCGACAGGTTCGGTGTGAATACATTCCCTGAGCTTTTTTTCTATTTGTCTCTTGCAGGGTTTCACCTCCGAGATAGTATCCTGTGCTTCCTTCACCTAATTTCAATACGTTACACTTTCCAAACCATTTTCTAGACCATTCCTCCAGTTTGTACAGGTTGTCCTATAGTCTCTGTCTTCCCCTGTTTTAATTTTTCTCATTATTTTTCCATTAGCAAGCTTTATGAGGAATTAGTCTATATCTTCAAGAAGATCGTTTACATATATTAGAAATAGGATGGGTCCATGTACAGATCCCTATGGGACTCCGCTGGTGACTTCTTGACGCTCTGATGTCTATACACACAGTTACTCTCTGTTTCCTGTTGCTTAGATCCTCCCTCATCCACTGGAGCTCGTCACCTTTTAGTCCTGCATGTAAAAGCCTCTTTTGGGGTACGGTGTAAAAGGCTTTCTAACAGTCTAAGAAAATGCAGTCTGCCCAGCCGTCTCTTTCTTGCCTAATTTTTGTCGCCTGGTCATAGAATTCTATTAAACCTGCGAGGCACGATTTACCATCTCTGAACCTATGCTGGTAGTGTGTTACAAAGCTATTTCCCTCCAGATGCTCTACGAGGCCATTACTGACGATCTTGCATGGTATACAAGTTAGAGAAACTGGCCAGTAGTTCAGTGCCTCTTGGCTGTCACCCTTTCTTGTATATTGGGACTACATTAGCTGTCTTCCAACTTTCAAACAGCTCATGATCTCTCCCGGCCCTAGTCTTTCATATTGTATCCTCTCATGTTTTGAAGGCACGTGTTCCTTGACTAATCCCTGTATTACTATTGTTTGTATCTTCTGTATTTCCTTGTCATCACCTCTCATTATTCTGATTTATTGCGCCCCTTGCTTTCTCGTTCTTGTTTCTAATTGCCATATTGTTCACTTCATTTTCACATATTTGAGAGAGGTTTTGTAAACTTTCCAATTTGTCCTCTAGCTGTTGCAGTCTCGCTTCCCCATCCCTCTCCAGCTTGCTGGCTTTCCCAGTGGCTACCCCTACCTCTGTTCCGGTGGCTACCCCTACCTCTGTTCCGGTGGCTACCCCTACCTCTGTTCCGGTGGCTACCCCTACCTCTGTTCCGGTGGCTACCCCTACCTCTGTTCCGGTGGCTACCCCTACCTCTGTTCCGGTGGCTACCCCTACCTCTGTTTCGGTGGCTACCCCTACCTCTGTTCCGGTGGCTACCCCTACCTCTGTTCCGGTGACTACCCCTACCTCTGTTCCGGTGGCTACCCCTACCTCTGTTCCGGTGGCTACCCCTACCTCTGTTCCGGTGGCTACCCCTACCTCTGTTCCGGTGACTACCCCTACCTCTGTTCCGGTGGCTACCCCTACCTCTGTTTCGGTGGCTACCCCTACCTCTGTTCCGGTGGCTACCCCTACCTCTGTTGCGGTGGCTACCCCTACCTCTGTTGCGGTGGCTACCCCTACCTCTGTTGCGGTGGCTACCCCTACCTCTGTTCCGGTGGCTACCCCTACCTCTGTTGCGGTGGCTACCCCTACCTCTGTTGCGGTGGCTACCCCTACCTCTGTTTCGGTGGCTACCCCTACCTCTGTTGCGGTGCCTACCCCTACCTCTGTTCCGGTGGCTACCCCTACCTCTGTTGCGGTGGCTACCCCTACCTCTGTTGCGGTGGCTACCCCTCCCTCTGTTTCGGTGGCTACCCCTACCTCTGTTCCGGTGGCTACCCCTACCTCTGTTGCGGTGGCTACCCTACCTCTGTTGCGGTGGCTACCCCTACCTCTGTTCCGGTGGCTACCCCTACCTCTGTTGCGGTGGCTACCCCTACCTCTGTTGCGGTGGCTACCCCTACCTCTGTTTCGGTGGCTACCCCTACCTCTGTTGCGGTGCCTACCCCTACCTCTGTTCCGGTGGCTACCCCTACCTCTGTTGCGGTGGCTACCCCTACCTCTGTTGCGGTGGCTACCCCTCCCTCTGTTTCGGTGGCTACCCCTACCTCTGTTGCGGTGGCTACCCCTACCTCTGTTCCGGTGGCTACCCCTACCTCTGTTTCGGTGGCTACCCCTACCTCTGTTCCGGTGACTACCCCTACCTCTGTTCCGGTGACTACCCCTACCTCTGTTCCGGTGGCTACCCCTACCTCTGTTTCGGTGGCTACCCCTACCTCTGTTGCGGTGGCTACCCCTACCTCTGTTGCGGTGGCTACCCCTACCTCTGTTGCGGTGGCTACCCCTACCTCTGTTGCGGTGGCTACCCCTACCTCTGTTGCGGTGGCTACCCCTACCTCTGTTGCGGTGGCTACCCCTACCTCTGTTGCGGTGGCTACCCCTACCTCTGTTCCGGTGGCTACCCCTACCTCTGTTGCGGTGGCTACCCCTACCTCTGTTGCGGTGGCTACCCCTACCTCTGTTCCGGTGGCTACCCCTACCTCTGTTCCGGTGACTACCCCTACCTCTGTTCCGGTGGCTACCCCTACCTCTGTTCCGGTGGCTACCCCTACCTCTGTTCCGGTGGGTACCCCAACCTCTGTTCCGGTGGCTACCCCTACCTCTGTTCCGGTGGCTACCCCAACCTCTGTTCCGGTAGCTACTCCTACCTCTGTTCCGGGGACTACCCCTACCTCTGTTCCGGTGGCTACCCCTACCTCTGTTCCGGTGGCTACTCCTACCTCTGTTCCGGTGACTACCCCAACCTCTGTTCCGGTCGCTACCCCAACCTCTGTTCCGGTGGCTACCCCTACCTCTGTTCCGGTGGCTACCCCTACCTCTGTTCCGGTGGCTACCCCTACCTCTGTTCCGGTGGCTACCCCTACCTCTGTTCCGGTGGCTACCCCTACCTCTGTTCCGGTGACTACCCCTACCTCTGTTCCGGTGGCTACCCCTACCTCTGTTCCGGTGGCTACCCCTACCTCTGTTCCGGTGGCTACCCCTACCTCTGTTCCGGTGGCTACCCCTACCTCTGTTCCGGTGGCTACCCCTACCTCTGTTCCGGTGGCTACCCCTACCTCTGTACCGGTGGCTACCCTTACCTCTGTTCCGGTGGCTACTCCTACCTCTGTTCCGGGGGCTAGGCTTATTTCTCCCCTGAACCCTACACCGGCTACGAGTGAATCTTAAGCTAGTTATTCTTCTCTCCAATCTTGCAGTTGCTTCCCCCCCCCTCACTCTATTTCCATCAGCTTTATTTCTGCTTTATAATATCCCTCGTTCACAGTCTTTATTTGGTCATCTAACAGTCCCATTTTGTGTCCAAGTACTTTTTTTTGTTCCATTATTATCTAAAGTTTACCTCTTCCCCCCCCCCATTCCCCCAAAGCTCTCTCTACAATACTACCATTGTAAGGTAGGATTGTAGAAAGTAGATTGTAGAGTAGATTGCGCAATGTGTCATTGCAGAGTAGACAACCTTAAGCAGAAAGCTTGCCAATTAACTTTACCCTCCTGCCAGCACAGTTGGTGAGTATATCCCGGTACGTCGTCTTCCAAGTCTTGAACTTCCCATTTCTTAAAATCATAGTTCACTTTCTACTTTACAGATTTTAGTATCCCCCATACTGAACCTAGTTGTATGGGGACTCCCTCCATAACATCACTGTCTAATGCATTCCATTATTAATTCCATTCCATTTGTGTAGGTTTGGGTTTGTGTGTGTGTGTGTGTGTGTGTGTGTGTGTGTACTCACCTATTTGTGCTTGCAGGATCGAGCATTGACTCTTGGATCCCGCCGTGTGTGTGTGTGTGTGTGTGTGTGTGTGTGTGTGTGTGTGTGTGTGTGTGTGTGTGTGTGTACTCACCTAGTTGTGCTTGCGAGGGTTGAGCTTTGCCTCTTTGGTCCCGCTTCTCAACTGTCAATGAACTGGTAAAAGCCCAGTAGCCTTTCCTGAGCCTACTGAGCTGTTTCATATCTACACCTAAAACTGTGTATGGAGTCAGCCTCCACGACATCACTGCCTAATGCATTCCGCCTGTTAACTACCCTGACACTGAAAAAGTTCTTTCTAACGTCTCTGTGGCTCATTTGGGTACTCAGTTTCCACCTGTGTCCCCTTGTTCGCGTACCGCCCGTGTTAAACAGTTTATCTTGTCTACCCCTTTCAATTTCTCTGAGAATTGTATAGGGGAGAGGGAGGATTTTGGGTGATATGGTGGGCATTGTGCAGGGGCAGGAAAGGGTTTGTGCTGGGGGTTAGGGCGGGCCCTATTGGGTGGTGAGCTGGGGTGTTGCATTCCCATCTGGGGTTCCCGAGTTGCTGAATTGGGGTTCCCCACTCCCCTCTGGGATTGCTGGGTTGGAGGCTGAGGTTCCCTGGCTCCCTTCCCTCTCCTTGCGCCTTTTCCTTGCATCTGCTGCCCATACTATCTCGTCCCTGGTCATGCCCCTCAGAACATATGCCTTTTTTTTAGTTCCTTGCATACCTCAGTTTGCACTTCTTTACTAGGATGTCCTCTTTGATGACATCACTCTTTAATACTACCTTGATCAATCACTTTTTCTCTCTGTTGTACTGGCCAATCCCGAAAAACTGTTCCGTGTATCGTTCAGCCCCTTCCATTCCTATCTCCTTTAATATCCCTGCTACTGCAACTTTGTCTTTAGTCCTCCATTCCTCCTTTGTGGAACACTCTTGTTCCTTCACACCTACCACTACTACAGCTCTCTTCCTTTCCACTAGCTGGCTTGTGCGTCTAGCTGCCTCCTGTGAGGTTGCTGCTTTCATTACAGCTTCCTTGACTGTGCACATAGCATCTGGGCTCTTCAGCATTTCAGCAAAGGTTGGAAGATTGTGTACTCACCTAGTTGTACTCACCTAGTTGTGTCTGCAGGATCGAGCATTGACTCTTGGATCCCGCCTTTCGAGCATCGGTTGTTTACAGCAATGACTCCTGTCCCATTTCCCTATCATACCTGGTTTTAAAATTATGAATAGTATTTGCTTCCACAACCTGTTCCTGAAGTGCATTCCATTTTCCCACTACTCTCACGCTAAAAGAAAACTTCCTAACATCTCTGTGACTCATCTGAGTTTCAAGCTTCCATCCATGTCCCCTCGTTCTGTTACTATTCCGTGTGAACATTTCGTCTATGTCCACTCTGTCAATCCCTCTGAGTATCTTATACGTTCCTATCATGTCCCCCCTCTCCCTTCTTCTTTCTAGTGTCGTAAGGCACAGTTCCCTCAGGCGCTCCTCATACCCCATCCCTCGTAGCTCTGGGACGTCTCGTTGCAAACCTCTGAACCTCCGTGTGTGTGTGTGTGTGTGTGTGTGTGTGTGTGTGTGTGTGTGTGTGTGTGTGTGTGTGTGTGTGTGTGTCTGTGTGTGTGTGTGTGTGTGACCAAAATTCGTTTGAGTGCAAGTAAAGCTATTTGAACTTCAGTTTGCAAATTAATAATTAGTTCTGAGGTTCCCATTGATTTTCTAAATGAATTTCATTAAACGTTTAGTGTTCAGGCATGTGTGAGAGTGACTGATGGGTTATTTGGGTGATATTAACGCTCTTCACTAAAATAATATATCTTTGTAACCCCCAATTTCAGTCAGCGTATTGGCTCCGTTAGTGATTATTAGTAATTGTTAGTTTGACTGATTAAAAGCTGATACAACCTAAACACATTATCACGCCCACACACACACGCGTATGTACGTGTATATATATATATATGTATATGTGTATATATATATATAATATATATATATATATATATATATATATATATATATATATATATATATATATATAGTGGCATATACAGCTAAATTAAAGCAGTTGGACCAGTCAAAAGTATCACCGTGAATTCTAAAAGAGGCAGCGCAGGACCTCAGCGTGCCTCTGGCAAGGATCTTTAATGAGTCACTTATGTCGCGAGGAATTACCCAGTTGCTGGTAGAAGGCAAATGTCGTATCGATTTTCAAGAATCATACCTAACCTTTTGGAATTCTATGGTAAAAATATCGAGGATAAGGCAGGACAGAGAAGAATGGGCAGACTGACTATTTCTGGACTGCCAAAAAGCCTTTGATACAGTTTCGCACCTGGGATTGTTATTCAAACTTCAGAGGCAGGCGGGAGTAAGCGAAAAGCCCCTAGCATAAGTTATATTAAGGAACTACCTAACAAGGAGCCGCCAGAGAGTAACGGTAAGGGGTAAGAAGTCAGACTGGAGACAGAAACGAGTGGAGTACCTCAAGGATCAGTGCTGGGAGCAGTTCTATTTCTTATATACGTTAATGACATGTTTACAAGAGTAGTCCTACTTGTCGATGTTCGCGGATGACGCAAAGTTGATGAGAAGAGTTGTGACAGATGAAGATTGCAGGATTCTCCAAGAGGACCTGAACAGGTTGCAGAGATGGTCAGAGGAATGGCGACTGGAGTTCAACACGAGCAAATGTAAAGTTACGGAAATTGGATCAGGTGATAGGAGATCAAAGGGACAGTACACAATGAAGGGGAACAGCCTACCTGTGACGACGCGAGAAAGAGATCTGGGAGTGGACGTAACACCTAATCTAACTCCTGAGGCACATATAAATAGGATACCGACAGTAGCGTACTCTACACTGGCAAAAGTTAGAACATCATTCAGAAACCTAAGTAAGGAGGCATTTAGGGCGCTTTACACTGCCTACGTGAGACCAGTCTTATCCCCAGCCCCATCATGGAGTCCCCATCTGAAGAAACACATAAGGAAATTGGAAAAGGTTCAGATGTTTGCAACGAGACTCGTCCCAGCGTTACTATGGATGGAGGTATGTAGAGAGCCTGAAGGAACTGAGCCTTACGACACTAGAAAAAAGAAGGGAGAGCGGTAGATATTATAGGAACATATAAAATATTCAGGGGGATTAACAGAGTGGACATAGACGAAATGTTCACACGGAATAGTAACAGAACGAGGGGACATGGATGGAAGCTGGAAACTCAGATGAGTCACAGAGATGTTAGGAAGTTTTCTTTTAGCGTGAGAGTAGTGGGAAAATGGAATGCACTTAAGGAACAGGTTGTGGAAGCAAACTCTATTCATAATTTTAAAACTAGGTATGATAGGGAAATAGGACTGTAGTCATTGCTGTAAACAACCGATGGTTAGAAAGGCGGGATTCAAGACCACAATGCTCGATCCTCCAGACACAAATAGGTGAATACACTCACACACACCCTGTTCTCCAACTGCTCCCTGACCCCCACCCACTCCCTGATCCCCATCCACTCCCTGACCCCCATCCACAACCTCGACCCCTACCCACTTTCCATTCCCTGCCCTCTTCCTGACACCCACCCACTCCCTGACCCCCACCCACCCCCGGAGTCCCACCCACTCCCTGACACTAAATTCTCTGGGAATAAGGAGTCCAGGAAGAGCCTGAAGGTCCTTAGTGGAAACAGAGGAAATGTTTACAATGAATAACAATAGAACAAGGGGGCACGGATGGAAGCTTGAGACTCAGATGTGTCGTAAAGATGTTGGAAAGTTTTCTTTTAGAGTAAGTGTAGTTAATAAATGACCTAAAGGAGCAGAATGTAGAGGCTAATTCCATTCATAACTTTAAGAACAGGTATGATAGAGAAATAGGCCAGGAGTCATTGCATGAAACAACCAACGTAAGACAAGTGTTGTTGCTGTGTTATAATGTATTGTGTTACATTGTGTTACCTGAGACAGTCATAGTGCAATGTTGAGTGTTGTTGCATTTTGAAGATAAGGAGAGAGAGAGCTCATATTAATTGTCATCATATGAAGAGACTTAGCAATACTAATTGTGTTGAGGATACGAGATGATTGTGTTGAGAATGCAAGATGAAGAGTATAATTGTGTTGAGGATGCGAGATGATTGTGTCGAGAATGCAAGATGAAGAGTATAATTGTGTTGAGGATTCTAAATTGAGTGTAACTGTGTTGAGTATTGAGAGTGTGTGAAAAGGTGTTGATCATTGCGTTGAGATTGTATTAGGGATCCCAGATGATTGTGAAGTGGGGTCCAAGATGGAGTATTGGATTGTTTTTGAGGGCGTAGAGAGAAGTAAACTCCGTCCACACGACCCCAGTGACCAACAACCAAACACTCGCACACACGTAGGGGGTCTCGTAGCCTGGTGGATAGCGCGCAGGACT